AATTAACATTTCTTCTTTGACACAACTATCCAACCTTCACCTTGGATCAGAGAAACTGTTTCAGTTTCTGTTACTGTTTCTTGAGCCACATGCATGTCTATGCCATATGCCAATTCTATAGCAGTGCAGCAACTCAATCCATTCATGTCTGTACAATCAACTACCTGTTGCCGCTGCCAACAAGCCAGTGGCAAACATTGCCCTACAGCCCCGCTAGTACTCTGGGAAACATTCAGCCAGTGTACCAGTCAACACCAATGCAACCAAACCAACATCTAAAATCTATCAGCCTCTAACTCCTCCTCAACTCAGCCGACCTATCAACTAGCACCTGCCCAATCTGACTGCAACCTGCAACAGCCTGCATTAGCTCCACATGTATGGCTCCTCGTCCCCAGGGGCAGTGATGAGCATACCATCGTCCCCACACACTGCTCCCCAGGTGCTTTAGCTTTAATTCACTTTCACTTTCAGTCCTACTGTATAGTAGCACTTCAGAGATGTTTTTTGGCTACTCTTTCTATTTCAACTCCATCAGTGGAGTGTTTGTTATTCCAGTTCTTTACAATATTCAAAATTTTATCCACTGCTTAAAGAAAAGTGAGCAAGGATTTCTCTCAATGAATTGCTCATTATATGTCCGTAAACAGGGATTTTCATTCCATTCATCAAAGCTGTTAGCCACATCTTTCATGTTATTGTTTTCACTATCCTTATCAGTGAAATAATTAGGCAGATTATTGCATTTGGATCAATTTCCTATAATACTACATTATTTAATATTTTCCATATTCTTATCTATATAACAAGGAACATATTCTTAAAAACTTATATTATTTCTATTATCATCAAATAATATAGTAATATTTCTTACATACCTGTATAATATCAGTTAACGTATTATGTTTTATATTTATATTCTGCCTCTTTAGTTCTCTGTCTTATGAAGTTTCTGTAAAGATTATTTTTCTTTTTGCAGACCTTTTGTGATCCTTGGGCAATTTGTATAAGCTTGTTCTTTGTTATATTCCACAACAGGACAATGCTTATCATATAACAAGGAACATATTCTTAAAAACCCATTATATGCAAGCTCAACATATTTTTCTCTCTATATTATATGCCATTTATACCCCAAAAAATCATTTTTAGTGTGTACATGGATTCTTCTGTTCTTACTCGTCTGTGTATTGTTTGCTTGATTGACTTGATGTCATAAATTATAAACACTGGCAAATGACTGCTTATGTCATTGACTAACAGTTCACTTATTGTTTTGTTATCAATGTCATTTGTGAAAATATTATCAATGAGAGTGGCAGAGTGAGATGTAATTCTGCTGGGTCTAGTGGTATTTGGAAATAGGCTCATACTGTATATTGCATTGATAAATTTATTGTGTTGGGATTTAAATTCCCAAACATAAAAATAGTTTTATTACTTATTTTCAGAAATACACTTTTTATCCACTCACTTAGTGAATCTATTCTTGACCCTGGTGCTCTATAAATACGGCTAACAATTACATTTTTATTATTCTCAATTTATTTTTTAATTGTTAAGCTTTCAATAAGATTATCGATCATCGTTGTCATTTCATCCAAAACCCTGAAGACTAAAGCTTTGTCAATCTATATAGCAACTCCTCTACCACCCTTATTCAGTCTGTTGTTATATCTGAGTTCATAACATTCTCATTCAGTCTTAATCCATATTTCAGATATTGCTATTGAATGGCTTATGAAAAGTTTGTATATAGTACTAAACGTTATTGAAATTTGCTGATAAGCCTCTGCTGTTGGAGTGAATGAATAATAATTTTCCCTCAGATTTAATGTTCTGATTATATCGATCATTTGTATAGTACCAGCAATTATTTTTTATGGTGTAAACAAATGTCTGGATCAATTTCCTGTTCCAATTCCATTATGTTTTAATCATCCGTGTATGAAGAATTTGATTACACGGTTGTTGATATTCACTTATAGATTTCTCATTGTTTGTCATGGTTGTGTTACCTGTGAGACTGGTGTAGTTCAATTTATTCAGATTATGCTGATGACATTATGTTGATCAATTTGATAAATACTTTGCAGTTATAGGTCCATGTACTTTGAATTGTCCCGTTTTTTTCAGAATACGTGCTTCTTTTGGAATGTTGGCGTTTCGTTTTCTAAGGTGCTCATTGATGGATATGTTTGTTCCTTTTAGCTTACGTCCTTGCTTGTAGTGAAGATTTGAGGTTTCTGTTCACAAAAGTTATGATGATGGCAGGTGCATTGGCATAATTTCTCCAGGTGGTGCTCAATGGTGATTAAATCCACTTCAATCTCCTTTGACTGTAGGAAGGCAGTCACCTGTAGCTCAGCAGATCTATCATCCATATCACCGGGCCCCCCCTCGTTGTCAGCGGTCACCACTCGGGCATATGACTGGGGTTTGATTCGGAGCCTGGTTACAACAACACTGTTGATCCTGGAGTATTTCTCCAATTCCGCCACTCTGTTTTCCAGCTCCCCCAGCTGCCGGTCCTTCTCGGCATTTTTGATCTGGAGTGCCTTTAACTCCACCAGCAGCCCTTGGAGGTCTTTCTGCAGATATCTCCTCAGATAAAAACTCAAGGGTCTTTTTTAATCTTCCTCCTCGGCTGTCAGTGCCTTCTTCGGCGTCATGCTTGACAGCTTTCACTTTTAATCACCGTATTTTCCTGACTACAAGGCGCACTTAAAAGCCTTTAATTTTCTAAAAATCGACAATGCACCTTATAACCTGTTGCACCTTATGTATTACTTCTGGTTGCGCTTATGACCTTGAACAGATTTTATAAAGCCAAACCACAGCGCATCACACATGATGGCACACAACTGAAGCACACTGGGAGCCAACAATGACGTGACTGAATGACAATGACTGGTTGTAAATGGAACTGGACTGTACAGATCAGGGTCCCCAACGCCCGGTCCGTGGACCAGTACCAGACCATAGGATATTTGGTACCAGGCCACAGTGGAAAATAGTGAAAAAAATGGCAACGCTGTTATTCTAATGGAA